GAATTGTTGCATGCAGTCGTAGGGGTCCAGGAAAAGAACAGATAATGACAATAAGAAATAATTTGCTGTAATGGTTCAGTAACATGTGCTTGGCTTGGCTGATGGCTTTTTTAGTAATGGAGATGTCAGCTCATCTTGTTTAGTGTTTGAATACATAGACAATAATTCTGGGTTAACCTGAGTTACCTCAAATTCCCTGAGTAAATCTTTGCTCTTGTCCTCTATGGACTGGTACAGTTTCAGGTTTTCTTTTATTCTTAGCCTGTGCTTTTCTGAAGATGATCTTTTTATTTGAGAATGGCCTGTAGGCAGATGGGATCCACCAAAGGCTTTTTAGTTGAAGAGGGACATGTGTGTTCTGTAACTGCTCAGTGGATGGAGCACAAGGTTGCAGGGGTCCCTTCCAGGTCTGTAAGGCTGGCAGCTGGCTGCTCTGCATTATGGTCCTTTCCTACTAGTGGTTTTAGCCTCATTAAAGTCCATTATAGCTTGAAGATATTTTTACTTTTCAGTGACTTTGTTCCAAGACCCTTTCTCACTCTATAGCAGTTGTAAAAAGTGGCTTTCAGCTTTCCATTAGAAGAACTGGATAGGAAGTGCCAAAGGCAAATACTAACTCAGACTTTTTCCCAGAGATGCAAAAATTGCATTAAAGATATGAAAACCCCACCCTAATACTGCTGAACTCATCTCTTGAAGCCTGGCAAATGAATATGGAACAATTAACCTTTGCTTTAATGAGAATGAAGCTTCCCAAAGTATGATCACAGCTGGAGTGCTGCTGTTAATGTGCACCTGGCTTGTTGCCTTCCTCCAGGGAAAGAAGGGATAGAAACAGAGCAGTGGAGTAGTTGAGCATTTTCTGCCTGGGAGGAATCCCTGCTGTGTTTTTCACTTAAAATGTATTTTACATGCTTTGGGGGGAGGCTTTCTCAGCACCCGAGCAGATTCCACCCTAGATGTTGTTGCTTTCTTAAGGGTAGGAGGGAGGTGGCTGTTCTCTATATGTCAGTCTAAATTAAAAATAATTAAAATAATCCTCTTCAGAGAGCCATCCTTCAGTCTGCTAACTGGGATTGTGCTCTTCCGTACTGAAATGTAGTAATAAGACTGTTTAAGGGCCAGGTTCTAGCCCAGGGGCTGACAGGGGTAGATTGACTCTGTTGCTGTGGGATGTTGCCCCAGGTACTGTTTGGATGGATTCTAGGTTTGTGATTTTTTGCTAGAATTTGTGGCTGACCAAAAGCAGAATAGATGCTGGAATATCAGAGGTAGCACTAGCAAGGAGATTATGAGGGAGCGGCACCTCAGCTGGCAGATGGGCAGGACTGCTGTGGTGGGCTGCTTAGGCTGGTGGAAGTACTCTGGGCTCCCCCGAGTGTGTGATTTTAATCATTTTCTCCTCTGTGTGCTGCAAAGTGTTCTTGCCTGCAGTGTGTTGCAGCCTCTGGCTACTGGCAAGTGACAGAAAATTCTCACGAATAAACTAATCGTGTCCTTTTTCCTTAGCATCCCCCTCGCATGCCCCCACCCCAACCCTGCTCCGCCAGCCTGAAGCTGCAGAAAACCTTGAACCACCTGAGTGAAACATCCTTTCCCCTAGAGAAAGGAAATGAATTGAGGAAAGTGAGAAAAGGAAAAGCGAGAATTGAAGCCAAAGCCCTTCTCCTTGGGCAGAGACAACTACTTGGTCTGTTGCTGACAGCTTGCTTTAAGCTATTTCCCTGCCCAGGACTGAAACCTTGCATGCCTTCGCAGCAGCAAGATGTTAAGAAGGAGGGATTTGTGCTCTTTATTTTCCTGGTTAACTGCTTGCTGGGGCCTCAGAGGTGCAATAGAGCCCCCGTATGGGCTTTGCAATCACCAGACTTACTACGTTCTTGCAAACCAGGCAGTAAAGAAAGAAAGAGCCTGTTCTGTAGCTCTACCAAGGTAGTACTTTCAGGCAAGGTGTTTTAGTATTTCATCACATACCTTCAGCTCTGCCCATAAGGAGACCAGCAATTGCTGTTGTGACTGGGGAGTGTAGCAGTACAGAAGAGCCTGTGTCCTTGTGCGGGAGCGTGGGAATGATGGATCTCTGTCCCTGGAGAGGTTTGACAGGCAGTGGGAAGTGCAGTTTTCCAGTTGTTTGCAGGATTCACGAGACAGGAAAACATCTAGGTCTCCTAGTCCAAGCTCTCTCCTCACCATACAAGATTGTGGCCCATGTGTGGTGTCAAATACAGTGTGACTGCTGTTGTGACAAGGAGCATTTGCTCCTGTGACTGCGAGGAAACTAGGAGGAAATATCTAGCCCAAAGCAACTGTTCTGCTGCCACATTAACCCTTTGAGGCTTTTTGTCCACACTCACACCCTCCTAACCATTCATTTGGGCTGATACATTGGCCAGTCCTTGTCTTCTGTGTGCGGCATTAAATAGGAGTTGTAAGTGGTGGAGCAAACTACTATTAACGTGCGCAGACTTTGTACTGGAGACAACAGCCTCAGGAGGAGATGCTGTAATTCTAGGCTTTCCTCTTACACCACATCCCTAGGACATCATTTTCTCACTGGTGCCTGGAAGATAAATGTGCACAATGTCTTGCATCAGCAGTGCTGTCAGACTCGTCCCTGTGCAATGCTGACTTGTGCTGCAGGGATGGGAACGCACAAACGTTGGTGGCTGGTTAAAAGAAAGGATAAAAATTCCTGTAACTTTGCATAGGGAGAACTGTCCTGTAATTCCTCCTCTCCTCACCTTAAGCCAGTTCTGGCATTCGCAGATAATCTAGCTAGTATCTGCGCAGATGAAACTGCTGATGGTCAGATGTCACCTGAATTATTTACAGACAAGCCTGACTACCCTACCGCTGGCTTGCTGAATGCTGTTGTGCCATCAGCTGGGACACAGCCCCATACGTGTTGGCGTGTGTTCCCTGTAGGCACACGCTCTTACCCCCTTGTAGTTACAGATCGTTATTTCACGTGATCTGTAATGGCTGGAGCCATGCCCCTGTGCTGCTGCAAAAAGCACCCTGTAAATCAAATCTCGTAAATAATCTGCCATCAATGCTTGGAAGAGTTAAATTGTGTGTGGTGGAAAACACAGCTTCTACTTCTCTCAGCCTGGGTGGAAGTAGGCTCCTTGTCTGGGTGGATGAGTGGAGAGGTGGGGTGGGAGGGAATGTTTTTCCCCCAAGGGAAGGGATGGCTGCTTCACTTTACATGCTGGATACAAGCTGCAGCTACAGCTCAAACTGGAGCAACCACCACTTGTCCAGTAAAGGTGAGCTCCGACTTCTTGTTAGCATCATCCCAAACCAGTGTGCAGTAAGCTTATGTGCTGCATGTTACAGCAGCTGAAGGTCCTCAGGGTAAAGAAAGTGTCCTGTGTCTGCCCTTGTCTTCCTGTCCTCTTCCTTTCCCTTGCCACAGGTGTCACAGCTGCCTGGGACACATCCGTGTGCTGTGCTGGAGCACTTGCTGCTCCCACCTCAAGCCTCTGGTCTGCCTCGCTGTCTTGTGGAAGTGATTTGGACAGCAACTGAGAAAACTTACATGAGTAAATTAGAATTTTAAGCAGCCAGCACAGCATCATCTCCGTGGTTCATCTCCTGGAAATATGCTTAGGCAGGTGTCTACAGCCATTGCTGACCCCTGAACCATGTGTGACGTGGTGGGGAACAGTCCCTCTTGGCCTGAATGACACTTGCAATTTCATTTTTCCTTTCTCCCTGAGCAGTAGCGGAGGGCATGGCAAGCAGTGCATTGCCCACAGGCCCGGGGTTCAGAACAGCTGTTAAGAGGTTGCTGAGAGCACGAAACTGCTGTGGGGCGAGCAGGGAGGAGGAAGGAGGAAAGAGCCAAAGGCAAGCTGGGGGGAGTCTGCCTTGCCGCAGCCAGACTGAGACATGGCCTGGTGCTGATTTGGTAAATTGTTTAAATGATGGATTAGCAGCTCTGATGAAAACAGTGTCTAGAAAGATTAGTATCGTCTCTTCAGCTCTGGGATGCTGGTCTGGATCCAGTTTGTCATTTTGATGAGAAAACCATAGTAAAATGTGATGCCAGTGATACTACAGTTAGCAGGGAAGGCATGTGGATGTCCTATGAGTGTTCGTTGCCTTTCTGACTCACCACTTAGGGCACAGACCTCTTAAATATTCCTGGCTTCATTTTGTTGTGAAAGTCAAGCCCAAGGCTGTTTCTTGAGACTGTTGGAGATCTTTTGCTGAGGAAAGGCCAGGTCAGGAAGATGGTCTTTAGTCAAAGGCATGAAGAAGGCATCGGAGCTCAGGCAGAGAAGGTCAGTCTGGAGCTGAACTTTCCAAGAGATCAGAGGCGTGTGGCTCTGAGGCTGTGTGAGTCCAGATGGAGGGGGTGAACCACCGTGAGCTTGTTTGAAGTTCATCATAAATGTTTTTACCCCAAGCAGGGAAACTTGGAACATTGATGTTGGTCAAAATGCCTTCCACACAAAAAAACCTGTATGTCATTATGTCAATATTGTTTCTGGTTTTTGGAGCTTCAAGAATTTTTAGCTGCTTTTTGGGTTTTTTGGGTTTGGCTGCCTTTCCCACCTCCCCCATCCCCAAAACCAACCATAACTAAAACCAGTAACACTTTTTTGGAAAATCCCATTCTCTTGGACATGAATAATCTCAGTGATACCTTTGGTAAGGTAATTATTAAAGGCTTATCAGAAGAGCTTTGGGAGTTCTGTTCGTTTTTGAATGAAACTTGCCAGCTATAAAAGCTGTGGGAAGTCTGAACTGCTGGGGTGTAGCTGAGCTCACTGACAGCCTTGTTAAGCCTGTGCTGTCTCATGCTTTGGTGAGGAGATGAGTTGCACTGTCCAGTTGCTTTGCTTAACTCCAGATTCTGGGCAAGCTGGAGGTGTGATTGTGGCTCTGACTGTGCCAGGCTGCGATGCAGACAGGTTTTCCACAGAGCAGCTCGTGACTCGGGGGGTGCTGATGCTAATGGCAGGGTGAGATGTTGATGGGATGGGATTCCTCGGGTCTCTAGCATGGTGATGGCAGTTGGTTAGTGCAGTAGGAACCATCCATGCTCGGTTGTCTTTCACACCTGGATTGTGGAGCATGGCATCAAAGCTAGGCATGGGCAGGAGGGGTGGCTATGAGCTACCTCGAGTGCAATTACCAACCTTCCTGGCTTTCACAAGATGCTTTTTATCCTCCTTCCAAGGTGATACCTCTGATTTATTGAAGGGTCTGATAGAAACAAATGCTTCTGTTTTGATGAGGCTGTTTTGTGTGCTGACGTGACCTGCCAGCTGGCTTTTTCCAAAACATTATTTATGTTAGCAGCATTAGTAGATTATCAGGGCTGAATAAATCTGCATGTCTGAGTCGGATGAATTTTCTAGGCTCATCATCCATAAGAGTTTCCGTGTACCTGCCAAAAGATGGGAAGCTCAATGGGAGGGTCAAGCACTGGAATGTGAGTGTGACAGCCTGATACTGGCTTCTGCGTGTGCTGCCAGCCCCATTGGGATGTGGGGAGCCCAGGCTGTTGGAGAGCAGATGTGTCCGTTATGTCTTGGGGAGAAGATAATGCTATGTGGCGAGGGTGTATTTTGTAGAAAAGATGGCAGAATAATTAATGCTTGAAAGAGAAAATAAAATGCATTGCTTTGGAAGCAGAGAATCACACTGATGTTTGGGGGAGTGTTAGGTGTGATCTGCGCTTGGCATCTTCACTGACGTATGGCTTTTGGGCAGGAATGTGACCTACTCTCTTACTGCATGTTTTTGTTATTGGCCTAATTAGATAACGTGTATATTAAGTCAGTAGGGCTAGTTGTTTTATCTCTTGTTTGGAAACAGCCTTCTCAAAATATGTAGTATCTATGGGGATGTAACCAAGTGATCCTGTTGGTGTGGATAGAGGAGCGTGGCCTTCCAGCATGCCCCGAAGTAGCATGGTAAGAGTCGTGCTGATGGAGAGAACTCATCAGGTTTTAAAGGTGTTTACATGAGGCTCTGTGGGGTCAGGATCATGTGGTGTGGTAAAGGATAAGTGGCTCAATATCGGTAATTAAAATGCAATAAAAATAAAATCGAGAGAGCTTACCAGCTATGAGTGATGTTAAGATGAACTACAGCTATATAGAGTTCAACTTGCAGCTAAAGAAACATATTAGAATGACATTGAATCACTGTATTAACATTAAGAGACTAAATCTGTGTAAACTTGAATAAATTGAAAAGAGGGATGCTGTTTGACTGTGAGTGATAGGTAAAGAATTTCACTTTCACTGTTCAAATCTGTAACTTGCCAAGTACCCAATAATGAAATTGGATCATCTTTTTACACCTGGATGCAGTATAGGACCAGAAAGCTTTCTTGTGATACTTTTTGCTGTGGGCAAATGTTTTTTCCATTTTCTAGAGCAAAGAGAAAACATCACCAAAGTTTTTTCCATAAACAGTACTTTGAATCCCTAGAGAGAAATGACAAAGCTATGTACTGCAGTGCAGGCTCCCAGGACTTGAGGTAGGACCCAGACTTCAGAGCTGTGCTCTTTAGTCCATTCAGGTGTGCTATTTTTCGGCTGGGCAAACCCATTCTCCCTTGCATAAGCAATTTGCAGAATTTTTAGGGATTCAGAGTTGGTAAATCTGTAACATTCCTACCTCCAGAATACACAAAACTGGAGATTTCTGCATTCAACCACTGTTTTCTATAGGGGAATTTTAGTTTGTTGATACCCATTTATGTAAAATTTAATATGAAGAACATGAATAACGGCAAATCATTCAAGGTAGAGCTACACGTTTAATTTTAAGCTTATTTTTTAAGCTTTCTTCCTTGAACCTAGGCTTTACCAGAGATGGGCTGAAAAAGGTTTAAATCATACATTGATTTACTTGAACTATGAACCTTTAGAACCATCCTCCTCCTTTTCCATCCTTTTTTTTCTCCCCTCAACACAAGTTTCTAAGCAGGAGTTTCTAGTGCAGAGCCAGCTGCTGCTCAGTGAAATGTGCTCTCATAGCAGTGATCAAAACATAGCTTTGTAAATTCCTGACTTACACTCTCCCGGAGTCTGCTCAGCATGGGGAAAGCTTTAAGTTTACATATGGGAGAAAAAGGTGCAATTGATTCTTAGTTCTCTTGGGCAGGCATGGAAAATCTGTGCCTGGCAGTGGGATGAGACCCTTTCCCATGCAGCGTGCTGGCACTGTGATTGATGTGGGGTGTGTAGGTAGAAGCACAGGGGTTTTTCCCTGTACAAAATGTGTCTATTTTGAGAGTTTGCTGGGAGGGCTGTTTGCTGTGTCCTAGCAGACCCTGCATGAGGACAAGCTGAGGAGTCATGAGTGCCTTCCTGGCTCAGCTTTCCCTTTGTCCTGTCTCAGTGTTGCTCAGAAGTAGTGCTGGCTGAAAGAGCACAGGATGGAAACCCCATTAGTGAAGGCCTTGCTCAGGTATAAACTGCACTTAGAGGGCTTAATAAACTCCTTCGTGGCCTTACAGGTGACTTGGTGGCAGGTCCAAAGGTGGGAGTTTGTCAACTTGCTTGTAGCTGCTGGAGTGGCACCTGTCGTGCTAGGAGAACTGGGTATGAACATTCTCTGTTCTGGTTTCATTACATCTGAAACAGAAAATACTGATGTCTTCTCCCCCTCCCCAACTGTCCTACTGTGGCAGTGCCGGTGCTGCCATCTCTAGCTGTCGGCATCTTCTCTCCAACAGGTTGGTGGGACAAAGACAGGAGTTGTGCGCTACGTGGGGGAGACTGATTTTGCCAAAGGAGAGTGGTGTGGTGTGGAGCTGGATGAACCTCTGGGGAAGAACGACGGAGCGGTTGCTGGTACAAGGTACTGTGCACTCTCAAACCCAACTTGGGGGGCATGTAGGGTACTGCACCCCTCCTAGGGGGGTTGGGGGCCAAGTGCCATTTGGGTCTGGGAGGAGGAGTTAGGGCTGTGTTTGGCTGGACATTGTGGGTTGGGAGGGAGAGTCCAGTTAGGAGTCTTTTAGGCTTTGCAGGGAGATCAATAGAAACCTCATCACTGGAGCATTTTAAAGCAGGATCAGATGACTGAAGAAGTAACCTGAGTGGCTTCAGGAAACAGGAGAAAGTAGGCCGTGAAGGTAACTTGTAATAGGATTTAGTTTTTGCTAGAAATTGATTCTGTGATTGTATTAGCTCTGATTTGTCACGCATTCTGTTCATAAACTTTCTTCTTGTGCTGTATCTATAATTCACCCTGTCAGAGCTATAGAAGATAAAGATGAGGCTCTCTTTCTTCCTCAGCTTAATGTTATTTATTCTGTTCTTAATGGGAGCAAATTTCCAAAGATCTGAGAGAACAATTGTTGGTCACTGTCTGTCCTTGTACTAATTGTGTCATGTGACAGCTGTCTGCTGGTGGATCTTACCCACCTCTGACTCCATGGGCAACTTCACTATTTTCTTTTCTCCTCCAAAAAGGAAAAAAAAAAGCCCTTGTTCGTATCTATAAAACTAGGTAGAGATGTCTTGCTTGCAGGCTTGCTGGGAAGCTGTTTCTGCCCACGTGGAAGTTAGTAAGGGAATGACCCACAGCCTCACATCTTGACCCTGAGGGGATGTTCAAATCAGAGTTACACAGCAGCATGCTGACCCTGCTTCAAATACAGGTGGAACTGATTTTTTTGTCCTTCACAAGTTCCTTTAGTGGAAAATCCTGTTGATTTCTTGGAGCTTCTTAAGGGAATCTTTCATTAGAGATGGGATTTAACTTTGAAATGGAGGAGCTGAGAGTTTCCCCCTTGTTAGATCTCAGGTTTTGTAATGAAGATTTCTTACGTTGGGTCGCCCTTGTTCTGTCCAGCAGCCACGTGTGTTCATTTAAAATGAGAGAAATGCTGCCTTACTCAATGTCAGGACAGGAAAGCAGTGAATGGTTGGCAGCAGACGGCTGAGTTCCAGCCTGTTCTCAAAAGACAGGAACCAGGATGGTAAAGAATAAGTCATGGAGAGGATCCAAGTCCCTACTTTCTTGATCATGAACTACAAACTATCTCTAAGCTTAATCTTCAGGGTGCTCAGATGATTTATTGTCTCTGTGCCTGTGGAAGGCAGATATGAGTGTAAAGGTGTTCTCTCTGCCTCTCCTCCTCACACCTCTGTTGCTGTGTTCTGAAAATCCAGCTTTTGGAAGTCATCTGTCTCCTGAAACTGCTACATCTTGACTGAGGTTGTTATGGTATGTAAGGGCTTCTCCTGTGTTTCATACTTTATCAAGAGCAGGAAAAATTGAGCTCCACAGCAGGGATGGAGGGGCAAGAGTGACTTAAGAGGTTTGGATTAAACAGAGGACATTGAGGGAAGTCTGTAGGCCATCCCTGCCCCTTGCATGCAGGCTGATTTTTGCAGATCTTCCAGCAGTAATGGATACTAGCTGACACAGCAGTGGTACACATGGACTCTCCAGCTGAAGGGTGGTCTGTCTACCAAGGATCTGACTGACCTGTCCCTGTTCATCCTCTTGAGCTTTCATCCAACTTTCTGATTTTCTTAGGGCATGTGCTGATTTCAACAACAGTGTTTTGGAGGAGAAGCCAGTGTAGTAAAACCAACTCCTGTGGTGCATGCAGGTACCATCAGACAGCCTTCCTTATGTTTACTGTGGCCACACAGGATTCCTGATAAAGCCCTGAACTTGTCCTGCCAGACTCAGTTTGGGCAGAGATGTCCAGGATGCTGGAGTCTTCTGCTTTTGGTGGTTGTTGCCATCTAGTGAGCATCCTTGGCCTGAACGCACCAGACCACTGCTTGGTGCCACGGTAAGTCTGCTGCAAAAGGGAGCTGAGTCCAAAGGGCTGAGTCAGGGCAGGAGAGGCAACAAGTGGCCAAAGGATATTGTCACCATCTTTGCTGCCATGGGCATCTCCAGTTGAGTTGGTGGTGAATTGGCTGAGATGTGTGGAGGGTCACTCTGATTTTCCTGTGGGTTCAGGAAGGGACTCCAGATCTGGATGTTTGTCAAGGGAAGGTTGCAGGGTCAGGGTTTCCTGGGCAGCTTGTGGCGCGCTGGGGAGGGCTGCCCTGCAGGCTGTGATTTGATAGCTGTGCCCGAGGACAGGGTTTCACTGGGTGAGCCCCCTCCGTGCATAGGAATGGTACTGCTGAGGCACTGGTTTGCTGCATCTGCTTTGCTGTCTGCACGCTGCTGTGGTTTTTTGGTTTCTTACCCAGAAAATGAAGCAAATTCCACTTATCTCTAATATGTTGTCCTTTACCTGCTCATTTTGCTGTTCTTCCTTCTCTACCTCTGCTCCTACAGCTGTCTTTGCCCGCTAAACTCCTCATACGTTTGCTTTTGTCTGAAACATGTCAGACATTAATTTTGTCCATCGTGGGTTTTTTGAGTGTTTTATTTCAAGATTTCCTGTGCTGTTTCCCACCTGCAGTTTGCATTGCCCTCACAACACCCCTTTTCTTCCGTTTCTTTTCTGTAATGTGAGTATAGAGCTCCTTAGCACTCAGTGAGGGCACCCCTTGGTTTTCAAGCAGATTTTTTTTTTTTTATCCCTGCCAAGTGTTCTGGACTCAATTCCTGCTTCTGAACTATAAAAGTTAATGGCAACCACTTTCAGTCTGAACTAAAAGAAAACGATCAGGCATAGTGATGCAAGTTTAGACTTGCTGAAAGCTGTCAGGGGGCTTTTCAGGGCATTAGCCTTTAGCACTGTTGTGTGGTCACAAGTACCAGTCCATGCTTAGATCAGGTGGAGCTGTGGAAGGGGCTGTGCCATGCTGCTGGTCCACCTGTGCCTACTGCCATTTGAAACTATGAGCAGGGCTTTGGCTGGTTTGCGGGAGGTCAGACTGGTTTATTTTGGGTGTGGTGTGGGTGGTTTTTTTTCCCTCCCTTTGAGTCCCTGTTCTGCAGTGAGGTCAGCCTGCGGTATGGCTTCTTTTCCAAACCCAAGGGCCTTGGTTGGCAGCAAGCAGAGGGGACCAAGAGATTTTGGGTTGTAGAGGTTTTTTTAAAATATTGTTATAGAAGAAAATTGGGCTTGAGCAGATGTTTGAAAATGAATCACTTTCTCATCTGGCAGGAGATCAGGCTGTTCTGTGGCCTCCCAAGCACACAGAGGTCTGCTTGTGACAGTGTCTTGTGGCTGCCAGCACTTGAAATAAAAGGGACTTGGGGAAGCAGCTGCTGACGTCTGGAGAGAGAGGACTTGGGCTAGGAAAGCTGGATTTGTGTCATTTATTCATTCAGACCTGGTTTTTGTGTTACTATAGGACATACTATATGAAGCCTGTGAGAAAGAACTCTTAAAGGAGCTAGTTTTGTGTTGGCTGCACCCTTGAAACAAGGGGATGCAATGCCTGGAGATGATCTGGTTTTACTTGCTGCAGGGCAACTGGCCAGCAACAGATAAACCCTGGCTTGAGTTGGTTGGCCCAAGCTCTGAAGGGGTTTCCAAGGTTGGACACTGTGGGTTTTGACTCATTTGTATTCTGAAAGAGGGCTCTAGAGAGACATAATCATTGAGCTCACTGCAGTTGTGGAAGAGAGCTTGCACTGTAATTATCTGATCCTCCCTTTTTTATGCTTGCTTCTTTCTAAGTTTGTGTGGGAACCAGGTTCTCTTTGCCACCCAAAGGAGATGGCACACGCTGGAGTTTGCTGTAATGGTATTTTTAGCTTCAAAGATTAGAGCTGACATTTTCCCCTTCTGTTTAGGGAGGGAAGATTTTTACCCAGTAGAACATTTGTACAGAACTGTGTGGTTCAGATCTTTATTTGACACGCTTTACTACGTGACTTTCTTGCAAAGCAGGGTAGAGAACACACATGGTTCTGGGAAGGTTGGTTTTATGGGAAGCTTGGTTTGTAAGGAAGGAGTGTGTGTGCTCCTGCTGCGTTTATGTACTGGGATCTTTGTGCTGTCCAGGCTACCAGAAGGGTCTTTTCCTGGCATCTCATCAAAGTGCACAGCAACTAGCGTGTGGCAATTATCTCGAGTTTCCCTACTTAAGCACCACAAGTGAAAACATGGAGAGTGCCACTGCTCTGAGTGGCAGGAAAGGAGAATAATCCAACTGCTTCCACACAGGAAGCAATGTCACAACACAGCACCAGCAGATGAGCTGAGGGGCTGGTGTTACATATTGCTTAGCAATGCCATTCTACAAGACTTGGGTAAGGCAGATGCTCTACCCCTTCTGACTTGGTGCATCTCCTCTATTACAGGTATTTTCAGTGCCCTCCCAAGTTTGGTCTCTTTGCTCCCATCCACAAGGTGATCCGGATTGGGTTCCCATCAACCAGCCCCGCCAAGGCAAAGAAGAGCAAACGAATGGCCATGGGAGTGTCTGCCTTAACCCACAGCCCCAGCAGCTCCTCCATCAGCTCTGTCAGCTCAGTGGCATCATCTGTAGGGGGCAGGCCCAGCCGTAGTGGGCTGGTAAGTGGCTCTTTTTACAGACCATGGAGCACTGCTTGTGTGACCTGGGAGGGTTGGGGTTTGGTTTCAGTAGCTGCACTGGGGCAACTACTCCTTCACCATCAATGAGATAAGGGGAGTGGGGTGTGAGATACTGTTATCCACCTTATAAATCTGATTCCCTCCATGGACACAAGAGTAGTAACAGACACAGAACAATTGTGACCATTAAAGAGCTTGAACTGCTATTTGCTATGGGACAAATCTCAGATTCACTGTCAAGAGCAGGTATTTCATAAGATCTTTGCAGAAAAATGCCATTGCTTCTTGTCCCATGTGGTTGTGTAGCAGTGTGCTGCTATATTGAACCGTGATGCAAAAGATCGTACAATGGCTGTGTCTGTCTGCAGAGGGGTGACACTGTCCTGCATCACATGCCTTGTGCTTTGGCAGATACTCAAGAACGCAGATGCCAGAGCAGGCAGCAATATTATTAAATGCTCTGACTGCTGTAGTGTGTGCTGCATAGCACCTGCAGTCGTCTTAGCTGGGACAAGGGTGCAGTATCTTGCTGGGAATGGATCCAAGTAGCTCATACCAGTCTCCAGTTGATATCTGTCCTCCTAGCTGAGCTTACTGTTTGGGACTGCATCAGTGCAGGTCTTCAATGAAACATATTTAAGAAAGCAGTTTCTGACCCAGTTCCCACCTCACATCCTGTCCTTTGGGAAACAGTCCTTTCGTTGCAGTGTATAAGAGCTGTTGAGCTTGTGAGCAGTGTCCTCATGTTTTACAGGCTTAACCCCACCCACAGGGTCCAGAGCTGGAACTGCAGCTCTGTACAGACTAATGAAAGATCAGTAGGTGAGCTGCATTCCAGGTTTAAGAAGGGTCTTCCAGCTGTCCTAGACTGGGAAGGACATAGTTTCACCCTTGTCTCTTTTTAATTCTTTTTCTAGCTGACAGAGACCTCTTCTCGGTATGCCCGAAAAATCTCTGGCACCACAGCTCTTCAGGAGGCACTGAAGGAGAAGCAGCAGCACATAGAACAGCTGCTGGCAGAGCGTGACCTGGAACGGGCTGAAGTTGCCAAAGCCACCAGCCACATCTGTGAGGTGGAGAAAGAGATTGCCATCATGAAGGCCCAACATGAGCAGGTAGGAGGTGATGTGGCTTTATCACTAGCCACTATCTGAAAGTTTCACATCGTAACGGTACCCCTGATGTAAAACCTGGGGTCTGAATTTCTGCTTTTTATGTGGAGACAGCTTCCTATGTGGGGTGTAAAGCTGAGGCTCTTTCTCTGCTCCTGCTGATGTCACATGTGTTCCCTCTCCCTCAGACCAGGAGCAGAAAAAGGGCTGTGCCAGGGAAGAAACAGTTTGTGTCTGCTGGATCAATACATTTTGAATGCTGAAATGCAAGTGAAGGGCAAACTTATTCCCTTTAGCCTCTCAGTCTGGCCTTGGCTGTGACTGCATTGTGGTGGGGGTGGTTTTTTTGGATGCTATCAGACACTGCTGAGAACATCAGCTCAGTTCATGTCACTGCTTTCCTGCCAGGGAGGATGGTTTTATCACACTAATAAAGTCAAGAGATATGTTAAGAAAACAAGCTGTGATCATATTACCTTTTTTTTGCACAACCATTTGTACTAGTGGTATTTTATGCACTTGAATGGTTTGAGAGCAGTTGTGTTTGTGCTATTCATCAGTGTGTGACTCGACAGTGACTGCTGTTGCCCTAAACTCCTTGCTTATGTTTGTAAACCCCAGTCAGCTACTAGGGAGCAGGAACCACACTGTATATATTTGTGTGGTGGGCCACACCTGCCTGTCAAAAATGCAGGAGAAAATGCCAAATCAACTGCAAGTTCACATCTTCCTTTTGTGTAATATTTTCCAGTAATTACCTGTAACAGATGACTTAACACAAGTCTGAAATGTCTGTCTTGCTTCATAACCAGGGCTGAATCGCACCTGGTAACCTCAGACCAGATTTTCACAACTGCTTAGGCTTCAAGTTCTTAACTCTGAATCAGTTACGTTCTTCAAAGGGTTCAAGTCAGAGAGGCCCTGAAGTATGGGTCAAATGTACAGCTGCTGGAGATTGAGCTATTTTTTATCTTGATACCTACATGCTGGGCTCTTAGAATAATCTACATTCATACCATAGAATCATCTGAAACAGATGATCAGAACCTTCTGTTCCCTTGTTCTGATCTTTCTTTAAACTCCATGCTTCAAACATTCCTAACTTTTGCAATTTGGGCTCCTTTTTGCTGCAGTATGTCACAGAGGCAGAAGGAAACCTCCAGCGAGCACGAGCGCTGGTGGATGGGATGCAGAAGGAGAAGATTGAGCTGTTGAACCAGTTGGAAGAGGAGAAGAGGTAAAGCAGGAGTGGGGGGGTATGGAGGAGATCTAGTCATGGGGGAGCTGAGGCCCTTACCTGAGAACATCCTTCATTGGATCTAAGGAGAAGGAAGTGACAGGGAAAGTAATCTTGGGTTCCTGACACAAAGCAGGGAGAAGCAGAATTGTTTGCCTGAAGGATCAAAGGGCTCCAATAACATCAGTTATGCTGAGATTTGATACCCTGACCAAAATCAGCTGTGTCACTATGTAAAATGGAATTACTCAGTAAAGGTGGGATTAACTCACGGCAAGGGTACGCACAGTAACCAAGCCTTGCCTTCAGATGTGCTTGGCTAAGGCTACAGTATACAATAACAACACTGAATAATGAACAGAATTGTGCAGGTTGGGCCATCTCAGACCCCTAACCTTTCTGTACAACCTGGCTTTGCTAAAGACTCTTCATTTCCCCTTTTTTTGCCATGTGCTGATCTTAAGGACATTCCTTCTGAGGCAGGGAAGTCAAACTGGAGTACAGCCTTACTGTAGTGTGATTCATCATCTCCTCACATCCCAGAGACCCCATCCACATATATATGATGCATACATTTCCACTCTGGATGAGAGTGAGGATCTTGTCATTCTTGGAGTCCGATTGCTCCATATATATAATTTAAGTCTTCAGTGGGAAGAGAAAGACATTTCTGAGTATTAAGTAACTGAAAACAGTGCTGATTTCAGTTGAGTGATGCCCCTCCTGAGGGTGAATTTAAGTCTCCCCATTCTTCTGGTAGGCAGCTCACTTTCCCAGCTCCAGGAGGCCCTTTAACCCAAGACAGAAAGTTTTTTCCTAAATATCAACAGATGCCTCCTCTAATTAGAGGAGGTTTAGACAAGGAAGCTTGTTTATGAAGATAGATATGTACACTCACAGCTATTCTTATCTGCAGCAGCACTGGAGTCCTTACATCTGGCTACCAGCTCAACATCCTCATTATTGCCCTTTTAAAATCAATAGAGAGAAAAAAGAGGACAGAGTTAAGCAGAGAATTGAATTATTTTTTATCATTACTGGATTTTTCTCTTCAGACTTTGCAAAAGAGTCCTAGGCACGTCTGTGCTTGTGCATGTGGTTTTTATGTGCTCTTCTGAATGACTGGCCTATACAGTCTCAAAGATTGTTCTGGCAGGGTAGATCACCATTTCCACGTTGTGGAAACACAGAGTTTTGCCCACACTCTGTCAAGAGGTAGAGGCTCCAATTCCCATGGAATATTTTGTATGGACCCTGTGCATTTGCACAGGAATTGCCTGGTGCTCTGCTGCAGGATAACAGTCTAAGAAATCCAGTTGAACTGGGTTGTGGCTTTCATGTTTCAGGATCCCAGTGTTAGTGAAGAGCAGCTGTGCTTGCTGGGAGGTGGGGCAGTAGAAATAGCATGTCTGTGAGCATGTACCTTGCATGAAGGCAAATGTTTGCTATGTGGAAAGCTTGCTTATTAGCTCTCTTGCTCCATTTGTCTTGCTGTTTATCTGCTGCTGAGCTGTTTGTACACAAAGCTTGTTTGTATCCTTCTCCTCTGACTCCGGTTGTGCAGGGGAGGCCCATGAGCAATGGCTGCTTAAAAATGAGATGCTGATCTGGGTGTTGCTGATTGCTATTTGTGTCTTTTGCCCTCCTCAGGAAAGTGGAGGACTTGCAGTTCCGTGTGGAGGAAGAATCCATCACAAAGGGGGATCTGGAGGTAATTCCTGACACCCTTATTAAAATATGGGCTTAAAACCTGAAATCGTATGTGGGGCTTCACCTGAGTAATTTCTGTCCCCTTTTACTCAACTCTGAACAGTAAATTATCTCTCTTGGTGGGTTTGGACCTCCTGTGAACACCATGGCATAAACTGTAAAGATTGTTCTTTGGTATGTTGCCCAATGACAAATAATGCTGGGAGCTGCCTAGAATTATTCACATGCAGCCAGCCTGGCTTTAAACATTGCCATGAATTGCCAAGCAGTGTTAAAATCTGACTGTATCTGAACATTTCAATGTATGTTTTTCCACTGTAGAAACTGACTGCTCAGTCACTGTCCCTGCAGTGTCCTGTTGTTGGCAGCTAATTGGCACACACGGTCTCCCAGTTAGGTGCTATTCTATTCCAGCTGAAATGCCATTTGATGTGCGGAGAGTCCTCCTGTGGAGTCCTCTACCCCACGTGCGTGCGTGGGGCTTGACACGAGGACATCCTTTCATTTGGAAGGGCTGTTGCTCAGAGAGATGCTGTTGCAGTGAATATTGTGCACACTGGAGTCTGCCTTTGTGTAGGAGGCTTTACTGGGGTGGGGGGGAAGGACAAGAGAATATTGCCGTGAAAGCAAGGCTCTGCTCTGTGTATATTGGGACTTACCCTTAACTTTACCTAAAGACCTAGGTTAGAAACAGCCAGAAACATCAAGGGAGCTGCTCCTGTCACTCATATCAATAAAAGCCCAGGAAAATGGGAAAACTAAGCAATGGAGTGTGATGCTGTGGCTTTGACCCTCTTGGCATAAGCCTCTACTCTTTGTCCAGAAGCTGAAGCAGAATGATGTGTCTGACAGGGTATAAACCAGTGATGCACTGATAGCAGGCCTTTGCTATAGGACAGCAAATGCTGTTTCTGCCTGCTGTGTGGGTGCAAAATCTGGTTTCTGTTGATTCCTGAACTTAGATGGCAGGTTTTCCCAGTGCTTGAGAGAAGGGCAATTGATCCATCGCTCCTTTTGAGAGCAGTGAATTACCTCTGTGTGAGCTTCAAGTGTTTAAGCCTGGCTGTGGAGTAATGGCAATGGGACCAGGGTTAGCTACCAGTTATATTTAGTCTTTACTTTTTAAAAAAAAAAAGCCAACCACATCTTAGCAAGATGGTCACCTGCTATGACTTAAGTGCTTCTGTAGCTGCAGGCCCCAAACTGAGAATAGATCTGATTTTTCATTGTGCTGGGAAGGAGTTGTTTTGCAGATGTGGCCAAGCTTTGTGCAGGCAGACAGGGTCCTGTCCCCACTTCCCTGTCCATCTGTACAGAAGAGCAAGTAACTTCTTAGGGAAGAGCCATGCAGCAGCTTGGTATGCTGCGATCAGAGAACTGGGATGTTTTCCCTGTGGGTCCAACACTAGTGACGGCACAGACACTGTTGGAGGGCTTTGCTGTGGTCAGTAATAGTAATTTAAGGCTAACAGCAAAAAGCAAGTCTAAAATTCCGATCTGAACTTCCTCAAAGTGCAGGAAAATACTGGATTTGAGGCTCTGAGTCAAACTGGCTAAGCAAGCCAATTTGCACAAAATAAGAAATAACACAGGATTGATGTGAATCTGAGGTGAAGCTGTACTTAAGGACTGTAAAACAGTTGATCTAACTTTCTTCCCTGATTACATTTCTTCTATTTTCATGTGTTTTTCCAGACTTGGAAAATAGCAGGAGCAGTAGATACTAAGCAAGATTGGCAGGGAACAGGAGTGTCGACATCAGGAGTCTTGAGTTTCTTTGAGAGAATC